CGATTGTTTTGTGGATGGTCCGTCCCTCTATCTGTGTTACAAGGTGAGCCTGTTTCAGGCAAGGGTCTAGTCTGCTGCTTTCGCTGCTGTGATCCCACTGCACAGAACCATGCCTGGTGCACAGCTGATGGTAATTGTGGACTCACCCCTAACGGGTCCCTAGAGTCCTGTATGGAGACATAAGTTAGGAATGAAACAGCATTGTACAGGAGTGTAGCACACAGTACTTCCTAGTACGACCCGCAGCTGCTATGACCCCATCAGTGAGGATTTCTAGAACTTCTGAGGGATCTCATGGATCAGCTATATGCCTGCAACACAGCCTCACACACATTCTCCTCTAAAACAGAGCACTCGTTCTACCAGATTTTGAGTCCTTGACAGATCTGGGGTTACCAACGTCAAAAAGAGCAACCAGATTTAATTTTGGATTAGCCATAAAACCAGAACAAAACTCCAGGGAGTGGTATCAGGCCCTGCTATGACAAAGAGCGATGGTAGGATAGGAAGCAAAGCCATTCGTACTGGCGCTTGCACACAAAACGGGCAGGGCCGAGAAATCACCTACCAACGTGTTTGGTCAGAAGTTCACGGCCGAAAGTGGACAAGAAGAAACATCCACAGCATGAGGTTGGAAGCTCAGCTCCAGCTTCCATTCTGCTTGGTGTGTGACACTGATCACGTCCCCTGTGTGCCTAGATTTCCCCATTGTAAAACAGGGACAGCGGCAGCATTTGGCTCCAACCGTTGTAACGTAAAGTGGGTCATCTGGGTAAAATGCTAAGAATAGCGTCTGGCATGTGGGAACATCGGATGCATTTTAGTTTTTTCTTTTTCCAAGAAATCGAAGAAATGGGGGGCAAAAATATTTACCAAATGCTAAATATACTTGACAACAAACAGCCTTTCTGAGTTTAGATCTAGAATGGGGGTGTGTCACCAGGGGGAGCGCTGCAGGGTGGGACAGGAGGTGCTCTGAGGGCAGAGAGACAGACCCCTGGGGTTTAAGCAATACCCTACTCACGCCTCCTCGCCCCTTGTCAGTGGGGAGACACCTGCTCCCTGGCTGTCCCGAAGACAAGCTTAGCACACAGGAGGTCTGGACAGAAGAGAAGATTGTTTCATTCCAAGGCAGCCATCGTCTTCTGTTCCAGCTGGGTTTGAGACACAGACCACTGGGCTCTGATTAGTAGGAAGAGTGCCACTGTATTGCTGTTGAACAGGGCTCGGACCCCAAACAGTGCACCACGGAAGTTAAGAATTGAAAGACAATGTTTGGGGATTAGTATCTAGAATATATAAAGAACTCCTAGAGCTCCATGAAATGCACAATCAACCCAATTTGTAAAAATAGGCAAAGGGCTTGAAGAGACACTTCTCTAAAGAAGATATAGAGATGACCAGTAAGGCCAGGAAAGGATGTTCGCCCTTACTAATCATTACAGAAATGCCAAGCAAAACCACCATGAGATAACACTTCACACCCATTAGGATTTGTATTATCACAAACGCAGAAACCAACCAGAGAGGACGTTTATAGACAGGATGTGGAGGAATCGGAACCCTGGTACTATGCTCGTGAGGATGTCAAGTGGTGCAGCCACTGGGGCCAACAGGATGGCAATTCCTCAACAAATGAAGCATAGAATGACCATATATATGACCCAGCAATTCCATTTCCAGGTACACACCCAAAAGAATTGAAAGCAGGAACTAAAACAGGTATCTGGACGCCCATGCTCAGTTATTCTCAATAGCTATTATTAATCTCAATAGAATTAATAGTAATTACTATTAATAGTATTAATTATTAGTATTAGTAATTAGTAGTCTTTATTAGTATATTAGTAATTAGTGATTATTATACTATTATTACTAGTCTTTATTAGTATATTAGTAATTAGTGAATATTATACTATTACCAATAGTATTAATACAATAGTATTAATTAACAGTATTAATAGTATTAATCTCAATAGCATTATTCTCAATAGCTAAAGGGTATGAACCACTCGAATGCCCATCACCAAAGGAAGAGATACAGAGAATGTGGGCTGTGCCTACCACGGACTACTACTGAGCCTTAAAAAAGAAAGAAACCAGGTCCATGGAGGACAGGTAATGTGATGAGCACTGGGTGTTACATGCAACTAATGAATCGTTGAACACTACCTCAAACACTAACGATGTACTGCACAGTGGCTAACTGAACGTAATAAAAGATCAAAGGGAATTAGTAAGAGTGTAACAAAGAGTATCTATGGTCCTTCAAAGAGGCCAGAGGTTACTGCTTTGAATTTGTCATGAAGGAAATATGATCTTGGCACAATAAATTGCCCTGGCACTAAATAAAATTTACTATCATAATAAAAAATAAACAAAAATGAAATAAAATAGAAAGGAAGGAAATTCTGACCCGTGCTAAACCATGGATGGACACGGAGGGTAGTACGATAAGGGAGTTAACCAGTCCCAAAGACAGACACACTGTAGGATTTACCTGCAGGGGAATGCACAGAGACAGTGAGGATAACAGTGGTTGCCAGGGGCTGGGGGGGCAGGGAATGGAAGTTAGTGGTTAATGAGCAGAGTTTCCCATTCACAGGATAAAGTGTTCTGTGGACAGAAGGGGCTGATGGTTGGACATCAACACGGATGCACTTAATGCCTCCAAACTGGGTTCTTAAAAATTAATTAAGATGAGGGGCGCCTGGGTGGCTCTGTCAATTAAGCATCTGCCTTTGGCTTGAGTCATGATATCAGGGTCCCGCGATCGGGTCCCGCACCGGGATCCCTGCTCAGCAGGGAATCTGCTTCTTCCTCTCCGTCTGCCCCCTGCCCCTCACTCATGCTCTCTCTCTCAAATCAACAAATAAAATCTTTAAAAAAGTAACTAAGATGATACATGTTATGTGTGTTTTACCACTTTTTTTTTTTAAAAAAGGATAAAACCCAGCATGAACCTCAACCTCATCCCAGGAGAAGCTTTGTTCAAAATTGCAAGCATTTGTTCACAGGAGATTAAATGAACGCCTACTGGTTTGCAGGCTGTGTTGGGCGCTAAGGGAGGGAAAAGAAAGGTCCTGCCCAGTGGGAAGATGTCACACTTCCCTCAGCTCAGGGGAAGAGGGAGAGAAAGGGGAGACTCAAATGAAAGGCAGAATGGCTCACCAGAGATATGTGAACAGGCCTTAAGTTTTAGAGGAAAAAAAACGAACATCTCCACACCAAACAGGAGATTTAGGGGAGGGAGGCAGATTTCAACACCTCAGACTACCTAAGGAACCGGGGCTGACTGCCGAACACCTACAGAAGAGGAAATCTTGACGATGATAGCGTAGCGTGGACACCAGAGGAAAAGGAAAGAGAACAGGTTGGCTGCTGCAATTGAGACATCTTCTAGAACAGTGCTTAGTAAGAGAACTACTAAAATACACAGAATTAAATCCCCCATAGAACCACCAACTACAGCCAATGTCTCCGGAAACAGAGCTTCCCAGCAAAGAATTTGCATTTCCAAGAATATCCGTATTATGCACACCATGGTTTTCTTCCGTGCAACGTAGCAGGGCAGTTGCCAGAGAACCCTGAGGTCCCGGGTCACCCTATGGGGGTGTCAGGGAAGCCGCGGGAGGACGGGTCTGTGGCCCAGGGTCCTTTCCGCTCGGTGCCTGCGTGCACCCAAGCCCGAGCCCTGACAGGAAAAGAGAAGCTTTCACTCGCTTGAAATGCAGAAATATTTATTTTGGTTTCCTTCATTGTTTTTTGGAAATTCTGTTTTGGTTTATAAAACATAGAAATAGCCAACACTTAAAGCAAACATTCAAAACCCCAAGGTGACAAATTACTGACTTTTTGTGCAATTAAGAACACACGGATGAAGTTAGGCTACCCAATAGTGTTACTACGGTGACAATCCTTCAGTGCCAGCCCTGTCGTGCTTGGGTAATACACAGACTCTCACAAACCCCAAACCAGCTGCTTTCAGTGTGTACATGACAACTTCATTCGGTCACACGTGGCAAAGACTTGCAGTAAAGTGAAATGCAGCTAACTTCCAAATTAACTTTAAAAAGAACAAAACAAAACAAAAAAATCCCTTGAGAAGTGAATCCCAGAAAATGAGTTTTCCAGATTTCTACACCCTAGAATTTTGGCTTGTCGAACACATTTCATAAAAATCAGGTAGCACTGTAAGACCATTCGTTCTCACTGTCCACTTCGCTAAGTGCCCAAGCGCACCTCCTCCCTTAATAGGCTTAAAGACATGCCCTGCCTGAGAATTGATCTGGGGGTGGGAAAAAGCCACTTCATCACAACACAATCTTTTGATATGAAAACCACATTAAAAATCCGTCAGCCATCACAAAGAATGACTGTTTCGGCGGAGATAAAGGGGGACGGTTCACTAGGCGTCACAGTTGAGCATGGTCGATCCAGGTCATTATTTCCTTCTTGAAATGCTTGTCTTCACTGCAGAGTCTAAGGCAGATTTTTTAATAACCCCTGGGAAGGGATCGCTGAGCGGGGAGGGAATTGGGTCTGGAGAAGAGGGTCTGAGAACATTCTGCTCTGTGGGCACCGGAAGCCGTTTGCTCAGGTGAGCAGCCGTTCATCTGAGACCCGCGTCTGTGCCAGCCTGAGCGGGATCTGTTCTCTCCTTCACCGGAAACCTTCTGCTCCTCCGGGACAAGAGGGACCGTGGAGAAGCCCGGCTGCCCTGAGACCCGGTCGGAGTGCGTGTGAGGCGGGGAAGGGGAGGAGGCAGGGATTAAGAAAGAATCTCTGGTCCACTTGTGACGTCCTCCAGCTGGGACAGTCCTTGCTTTTAAGGGACAGCTTCCCTCCAGTGCACTGTACTTTGCAGAGCAGCAGAACACCCGCAGGATTTGCAGCAAGTAGCAGACATCTCGGAAATAGCAAAGTCCTAACCCCTTAGTTAGAAAAACAGGGAGACAGAAGTTTTCACCGGTCCTTTTTTTTTTTTTTTTTTTTTTTAAAATACCGAGGAAGTTTCAAATAACTTAGCCCACGGATAGTTTCCCCTTGACAATTTTAAGGCTCATTTAGGAAATTGTGTATCACCATAAACACGGTCTGCAACAGGAGGTGACTGTAAGGCAGTGTTCCATTTCCTCTAATGTTCCTATGACGAGAACCCCGAATGCACAAGTCAAACATGGGCGCTCCCTTTCCTATGTGTGCTCTAGTCAAGATTACCGCCGTGAAGGCCAGCAGCTCCAGGAGACGGCGGAGGTGGGTGGCTTCGTCCTCGCATTAAACTTTGATGGTGGAATAAAGTTCATCTATCTGTGACCTAAAATAATTCCGAAGCTCGGGCCGTTTCGCCTTCATCGTTGGGGTCAGGAGGCCGTTGTCGATGGAAAATAATTCAGGGTGAAGACTAATGCCTTTGACCTGCAAATAAATGAGGCCATTAAAGCAAAACCTAGGGCCGATGGAACCCGGGCCTTAAAGCCCGTTGGTCGGAAGGGATGGAGACCCTGTGGCCATCCAGTCCCTCCTGGGTCTCAGGCCAGTGGCTCACTCAAACACAGGGCAGGAGCTGCTCCCAGGACAGGCCTTGGGCTTGGATCCTGACCTCTAGGAAAAGAGCATGCCTGCCCTCGGTTATAGAAATCCCTCCCCGGGCCAAAGCTCGTCCTTTGTCACTCCTCGTGGGTTTCTTTAGGTCCTCTTGAGCTCCATACCCATTCATACAAAATCCTCAGGTCAGACATGGGTTTTTAGGGGTGCAGGCTCCGTGATGCCAATCTTACCTGTTCAAATGGCTTCAGGCCAGAATCCTTCCCAAGCCTCACCATGTCCTCCAGGATGGCTTTTTTGACGTCCTAGGAAGGTGAGAAAACGACAGGTTTGCTGTGTTGGTGGTCTCTGAAGGCACGTCCTGTGCCAAGCCAAGGTCCAAGGAGGCCAACCACACACTCCCGAGCCTTACCTTGTTCCTGCACAGTTCTTCAAAGGAACCTTCGAATCCTTTCTTTCGGGCCCAGGGACATAATGTCTCAACATCTGGTACCACAATTGCTATGAGAAATGCCTTTAACACAGACAAGTGAGTTATTAGGTGGCTTGATCCAGATGTTCTGAAATAGCAATTCTTTGTCATTTTGCATGAGATCTGGAAGAATCTGACAGAAGTTACAGACCCTCCCTTCAGAACATATTATCAGCCCCAGGAGTCTACTGCGCCCAGGTTAAGAGCTCCCAGCTCTAAAATACAGATGGCATCAGGAATTTTTCAATTAAATATCTTAAAAAGGACCCCTGGGAATCAAAATCTAACGAAACCCTAATTTTTTACTTCTGTGCGCATGCACGTGCGCGCGTGTGTGTGCATGTATACAGTTTAATAAAACAGGGTCAAATAAGCAGTGAGACCACAGACATCAAGTAACCGCTTTAAAAAGGAGAGAAAAAAATTTATACAGATTCATTTTTTTAGGTCTCCAATGCCACATTTTTTACAATTTAGTAACAATAAAACTACATAAAAGTTGACGGTATATTAAGATTATACGTTAAAGGGAGATGCCTGGGTGGCTCAGTTGGTTAAGCGTCTGCCTTCAGCTCAGGTCATGGGATCGAGTCCTGCATCGGGCTCCCTGCTCAGTGGGGAGCCTGCTTCTCCCTCTCCCTCTGCCTGCTGCTCCCCCTTCTTGCACTCTCTCTCTGTCAGATGAATAAAATCTTAAAAAAAAAAAGATTCTAGGTCAAAGAAAAACAGGTATACTCTCAAAGAAAAACAGGTGCGTTCCTTATAAGATAATATTCTTCAACAAGTATTTAAAAGTCTCAAGATTTGTAAAAAGATTAGCTTTCAGGGGACCAGGCCCTTTTCTCTTCCCTGACACCACCTACTTGACGTTTTGGCAATGAGACGCTCCGCTATGGTACTGACCTTGGTTTCCAACTGTACGTATTTACCGGCATTTACCGGCTCACAACCCACACTGCTCACACACACGACTTTGGAGACACAGCACAAATACGATGGGTTTAATATGTTGAAAATTCTAAACTTCCTTATAATCAACCCATCAATATCTCCTTTCATAGTTTAAATTTAGAAGCATATTTTACCCACCCCCTAGTATCCTTATCCAGCTGCCCTTGGTATGCCAGAACACTCTAGGTGAAATAAAAATATGGGATTTAAAGAGAAAAATTTTTCTGGACGAGAAATGCCAAGCAGCAAACCCCGATAATGTTCCAGCACGTCACACGAGAAAGGCAATTCAGTCCTCACTGCAAACTTTCCATTGCCCTGCAAAAGCCCAGAGTTTGAGGCCCCGGTCACGCCCATGCGACTCAGCTCACAGCCCCAAACGTGCGTACCTGCAAGCTTTCTCCGTGGACAAACACCTGAGCGACAGGCTCACTCCGCACGTAGATGTTCTCGATCTTCTCAGGTGCTATGTATTCTCCCTGTGCCAGTTTGAATATGTGCTTTTTCCTGTCGATGATCTTCAAGGTACCATTCTGTGTATGAGAGGGTGGGGAGGGGAGGTGCTGTGAGAGGGTGGGTGGGAGGGGCACGGGGGGCTCACTCCTGGGCCCTGGGGCAGGTCCATCAGGCCCACGCTGGGACTGTGGGACGGATACAACCCCTGCACCAGACGTGCCAAATGCCACCGTGTCCCCTCTGGTGGTCAAAACCCACCCCCAGGGGCCTTCCTGTGGTTCCAAAAGTCGGCTGCAGGGAAGTTTCTCTGGTTCTGGCACATTGGTCCTGTACCACGTCCCCAAGAAGCAGACTGAGGTCAAGGCGATGATGAAATGTGTTCATTAGAGCCCAAGCCAGAACTGGACTGACGCTTAATCCCTCTTGAACTTGAAAGAAGGGACTTAATGTATTTCGGAACACCTTGGTATTCTGAAGTCTGAATTAGCTGGGTGGGGAAGAGGAGCATTTTTCAAATCCCTAAACATTTCCGGGAGTCTCATGCACCCTTAAATCTACAAGAATGGGACAATGCAATGATAAAATCATGCAATGATAAAACTGGCCTAAGCCATTTCAGTAATAGCAGTTCAACACGGGGACAACTTAGAAGAAGCAAGTCTGAATTGGTCCCGGCCAGCCAAACTGGTCAAACCCACGGCTGTGGTTTCTTTTAGGCTCTTTTCCCTCCTCTGATGGACCCCGGCATTTGTCTACAGTAATAATTCTGAGACTACATTCAAAGGCGTTGGCCTAACCCGTGGGACACCTACCTATTTTTAAGGGGAGGGCAAGCCTAAGAAACACACACGCTCGCAACTTCTTGCCCACCACACCTCCTTCCTGGCCGTCAACCACAACGTACCCTGTAACCTTCTGGAACTAAGGCCTTCACGTGGAGGCCCAGCACTGATACAGAGAAAGCCATACACCGTTCTCTCTGGATTTTGAATGGGAAGCAGCCATCAGAATTGATGTCACACATCAAAACCAAACATACTCCCTACATTTCAAGTGAAAACCCTACCCAGACACGCTATGAGTATAAAGCTGTTCCCGGCAGGAGATGGAAGAGCCTCCCCGCTACCCGCCTCCGCAGGGAAGGGGAAAGTGAGGTCGCACAACAGCAATGGGCAGAAGAAAAGTATCTGCGAACGGGGGAAGGGAGAGCTTACGGGAAGCCACTTTCCAATGTCCCCCGTGTGTAACCAGCCGTCTTTGTCCAGAACTTCTGCTGTTTTTGCTGGGTCCTTCAAGTAGCCTTTAAATACATTTGGCCCTTTCACACACACCTGAAGAGAGAAAGATCGGGAGCGGGGGTGGTTGGCGGGAAGTGGAGGGTGGGGGCCGAAAGTTCCAGTTAGGACTCAGGTAGGCATCGGAGACTGAATGTACAGCCCAATGACCTCCGCCCACACAGACTTGTGACTGTATTTAACAGCTAAGAGATGAGATCTTCAGAGTTCTCAACATAAGACCAAAAAAAAAAAAAAAAAAAAATTTTTTTTTTTTTTTTTTTTCTGTTTTCCTTGTAACTCTGTGAGATAATGGAATATGAAGGAGACTTATTGTGGGGAGTAATCACTCCACCATAGATGGACGTCAAATCATTATGCCGTTTCCTTTCGATGCATACAGCATGTATGTCAATGACGTCTCGATAGAACTGTGGGGGACAAAGGTGATCTGTAAAGAGCATTTACGGGGGCGGGGGGGGATTCTATGGAGAAAGTGTGTGTGTGTGTGTGTGTGTGTGTGTGTGTGTGTGTGTGTTGCGTATCTCAACCTTTAGTGGGAAGCCCTGAATTCCACGATCCAGAGGGAGCTAGCAGGGAACCACACTGGGACCCCGGAGGTTCATCCAATGCCTCTGGTCCCCTTACCCTAACGACATCAGTCGCAGTCCAGCTGTAGGGCTGATGACTGCCTGAGGTTCCGGCTCAAAGCCCCAGAGAGGAGGAAATCACTCTGAAGTCATCAGCTTTCTTTCCACTAGCCAGTGGCTCACTAATAGGTCTCCAGGGCCATGAGTTGTCAGGAACTGTGCTCCAGGCCTTCGGGCACAGGAGCCTTTGCACGGTCTTGAGCCCAAGTCCCTGCGGTGTCTGGCGGAAGAGACGTGCATGGTCCCCTCCCACATAAGGGTACCTTCAAAGAGAAGCCTGTTTGATCCAGGATCGCCAAGAACGTCAAGCTCGGTGGCTTTATGTGACGCTGCCGGCAAGCGGCCGGACCATCAGGGGGATGGCAGTGTGGGTGCGAGGGGGGTACCACTCACCTCGCCCTCGCCCTTGGAAGCCAAGTAGTTCATCTCTTCCACGTCCACGAGTTTTACAAGGTTGCAAGGCATTGGAGCGCCAACATGGCCTGCGTGGAAAATAAAAGAATGATCATTCCCAGGAGGACTCCTACTACCCTTAAGCCAAATGACTTTTATGGCCAACAGGCCTGCTCAGGAGGAGAACAGCTGGTGTAAATGTCTGTCTGCAGCGACGACAGCCCGTCTCCCCCGGTAAGTGAGCACAGACAGTGTATTTCCAGAATTGAGACAAACATTCAAAAGTCTCTTAGGACCTTTCCCCAGTTTGAGGCCCCAAATTATTTTTTCAGAGTATAAGTACTCAGGCTGTGGACTGAGGGTTTCTACAAATTCCTGGAAGCAAGCGTTCCAAAACCTTTACCAGGTTCCTATGATCTGATGGCCTGTGCTCACTGTTTGCCCCGTCTCCCTCACTCAGACTTCCCTACTCCCTACTTCCTCTAAGAAGAGAAAACACACAGCTTTGGCAACTGGATTACTCTCTCGACGTCACCTCGTTCTGACCAAGATGGTCTTCACTTCCTTAAGTATAGGGGAAGACGTTTTAGATTTAAGTTTATTAAGATAGGATGGTGGGGAGGGGGTTGGGGGGCTCAGTCAGTTGGGCGTCTGCCTTCGGCTCAGGCCATGATCCTGGGGTCCTGGGATGGAGCCCCACATCTGGCTCCCTGCTCCTCCCTCTCCTCCTCGCTCATGCTCTCTCTCACTATCTCTTTCTCTCTCTCTCTCAAATAAATAAGTAAAACCTTAAAAAAAAAAAAAAATCTCATTCTCACAGTTACCTCAACTCTCCTGCCAGAAGTTGCTAGGATTGGGTTGTCTTTTTCCAAACAAACAATAGAAATGAGATAGGTTTTAAGAGCAACACAAATAATTCCTTCTATGTTTTAATAATGTCTGTGTAAAGAGATCACTGTTCGAGATTCTCTAGTCTGGTAAGGAACCAGTGGTTAAGAATTAAACCACGAAGAAGGTTCAGAGACCGTCAGTACGAGTCCCAGCAGAATTGTGCTCTTACAGTCTGGACATGAGAATCCAAGTTCCCAGACAGTGCTCACATTTATGCTACAGCAAATACGTCAGCGGCGTTTGCCTACCAGAGCGTAGAATGTACCACTGGTCAGACCTGGGGTGGGATTCTGGCTGGGTAAGTTCCTATACACTGTTTATGTGCTTTTCCACCAACAATCACTTCCTGTCAGAGGGAGCAGGACTTGGGCCCCAAGGACGCTCCTGGGATGAAACCACCGATGTGCTCAAGGACAACTGCTCCACTGGGTAATTTCTGTTTCTGCCTCTCCTTATGCCTTTCAGGAGAAATGACATCTTTCCTTCTCTCTGTGGGCTCAACTCCCAGCCCAGCGCCCAGTGTAAACTTGAGTCAAATTTACCAGCCAATAATTTGACCCAAATCCATTCCCGGAAAGCTCTGTGAGGCCAAATGTTCTGAACCCGGTGCAAAGGGCTTTCATCCCTCAGCGTCAGCTTCAGATTTTAGGTGAATCTCTACCACCACCCACCTTCCTGCTGGTCCTCCAAGCACAGGCGCTCTGCCACAGCAGCCCTTTTCCATGAGGATCCCTGAATTACAAGGCCATTTGCCCCAAGGCTTGATCACCCGAGACACAGAACTTCCGTAGTTCAAGGGACCAAGGACAAACCCAATTCCAAGAATTCCCATCGGAATAACGAGATTCCCATAAGGAATGTCCCACAGCTCGTACCTGCTGTCCAGTCCCCAGGCACAGTCAGGCAGCAGCCGGCGGTGCACTCGGTCTGTCCATAGCCTTCATAAAACTGGACCAAGAGATGAAACGTTAGTAAAGAGGACAGTCACACTGTTCTGCAAGGGCACAAATCAGGACGTTCTTCTCATTCCTGAGTGATGGCTAAGCATGGCAACATGTCTCTTTTTAAAATCTGTTCAGAACGACTACGACGGCACCCAAAGATCTCCCCCGCAACCCGAAACCCTGGCCGCTGTCCACAGTCATCTTCTACTTGCCCTCCTGCAGACAGGAGAGGGGGACACTGACATGGCCTGACAGGTCACACTGCACATGACCTGCCCAGGAAGGCACTCGCTCTGTCTGCTCATGGCTGTGCCCCACACCTATCCTGTTAGTCACCCGGTCCCTGCTGCCTCCCCGCGCCCTTCAAGGCAGGTTCTCCCCAGGGTTTGCAGGTTAGCTCCTCACTTGCAACCCATCCCCATCCCCTCAGGCCTGGTGAAAGGCTAGTTTCCTGGCCGGTACTTCCCCCAGTCTGTGGTGGCCACAGACACATAACCTCCTGCCCAGGGGACAAGACAGAGACACTCCTGTCTCCAAGCAACCTGGGAATAACGTGCCCTTCCAAAACAAAATAAGACACCTGCTTATAAGAATGCCTTTGTGGAGAGGAGAAACCTGGGCTGGCAAAAGCCAGAGACAAGGAGCAGAAGGGACGCCCACCTCACCTGACAGCCGAGCGCGGCTCTCAGAAACGTCAGCACAGTGGCGGACACGGGCGCGGCTCCTGTGATCATCAGCCTGACTTTTCCTCCCAGGCTCGACTTGCAAGGCAAGGAGAGGGGAGACAGTAAGGGGCCAATAGCTGCACGTGGGTGGGTTCCTCAAAGACCCCTTCTGGAAACCCAGTCCCCGGATCCACCAGCTCCTTCTCTGCAGGCCGCACAGAGAACTCTCAGGTGTTTGAAAGAGGAAGGCCTGGCCGTAGCTGGTTGCCCCCTGAGGCTACACCCTTCTCTCTCAACACTAGCCAACCCCTCTACCTGCAGGTATTTTGAAGGAATTAGAACGAGACTGTGGTGGGCTTGGAGGTAACCACCACATCTGGGGCATTTTGCAGGACATAGTATCATTATTCCATATTCTTAATCACACGTGCCTATAAAATGACATCAATCGTAACATACTTGTTGCAGAAAAGGAAAGCAAAATAAAAAATAGCAAAGGCTCAGTGCATCTGTGTGGTTCCGCCAGTTAAGCGCCTAACTCTTGATTTCGACTCCGGTCATGAGCTCGGGGTTGTGAGATGGAGCCCCACGTCAGGCTCTGTGCTCAGCAGAGAGTCTGCTTGAGATTCTCTCTCTCCCTCTCCCTCTGCCCCTGCACTCCTTCTCTCTTTCTCTCAAATAAATAAATCTTTTTTTTTTAATTACACCGACAAATCACTGAACACTACATCTGAAACTAGTGATATACTCTATATTGGCTAATTGACTTTTAGCTTAAAAAAAAATAAAAAATAAAAAATAAAAAAAATTAGGAAGGCTCCAATGCCCTGATTCCTTTTCTGCCTCTCCATGTTACCATGTTGTTCAGGTTTGCATGGGATACTGAGGTTTAAGTACTGGCTTTGTCCTTAATTTTTAGAAATGTGCCTGGTTTACTAAAAACGTGCCCTTCTCCCTCAGCTTCATACTGCGCTTTAAGAAAGAGCCCTCACAGACACTCCAAAGGCCAAGTGAGTTTCCCCCGGCAGACAAGAGCTGTGAATGTGTCACCTGTATCTTGTGGAAGATCAGTCTGTCCCACAAGCTGTTGTTTCTAATGATGCCACTGCGGAGCTCTGCTTCTTTCCTCTTGGAGGCGAAGTCCAGCAGCCACCGTTTCAGCGTGGTGTTTGCCTGCCCAAAAATCTGACGGGTCAAGGAAAAAGAGTTACAAAATGATGGGGATGGCTAGAATCGAAAAGTCAGATAATAACAAGTGTTGGTGAAGATGTGGAGAAACTGGAGCCCTCAGCCTCTGCTGGGGGGCAGGGAATGTAATATGGCATGGTTGCTCTGGAGAATAGACCAGTAGCTCCTTAAATAGTTAAACCCAGAAGTACTATGGGACCCAGCAATTCTGCTCCTAGGTAAGTGACCAAGAGAAATGAAAATGTTCTTTGCATCATTATACATAATGGCCAAAAAGTGACAACAACCCACATGCCCACCGATACGTGAAAGGAGAAATAAAATGTGTTGTAGCCACACTGTGGGATATTACTTGGCCATTAAAAGGGATGAAGTAGAGTCCCGGGCCACCACATAGATGAACCTCATGAAAGATACCCATCACGGAAGAACACCTTACGTGATTCCATTCATATGAAAGTCTGGAATAGAGAAATCTATAGATTCAAAAATCAGATGCATTTGCCTGGGAGTGGAAGGAGGTAGAGGTCAGCCACAGGACAGACGCAGGGTTTCTTTCTGAAGTGATAAAAATGGGCTATGGTGATGGTTGCAGAACTCTGTGGATGTACCCAAAACCTTTGAATTTTATACTTTAAATGGGTGAATTATATGGAATGTGAATTATATATCTCAGTCAAGCTGTTTTTAAAGGACCATTAAGAAAAAACACCCAAGGTTCTCATAGATCACAGAAGCCCTGCCTTACAATAAAGAACATGAAAACTACCCCATCCAAATTGACCTTGAAGATTGCTCATGCCACACACTGGTCTCACCCAGGATGGGTGGTCCGTGCCACAGTGACCTCCCTGCCCCAAGGGGCTGGCCGCCTCTCCATCCCTGGCTTGGTTTGTCACTTCTTTCTGTGTGGCTAAGTAAGTAATGTTATGTGCGTATGAACGTTACAATTTCTAGAACAATTTCATAGTTATAGTTCTCATGTGATGCAACTGGCAACTTTATGAGCTAGACAGCAGGAGGAGGAGGTAACAGTCCATAGTGCAGAAGAGAAAATAGAGGCTCTAAAGTGTTTATGGTACAAATAATATGATCTCCCACCTTCCACCTGTATTGGGCCTTCCGGTTTACAAAGTATGTTCATGTGTTTTCTCTTCTAATCCTCACCAATGGTTCTATGATATAAATGCATTCTGGTTTTACTGATGGATAAACCACACTTCTGCGAGACCAAGTGTACATAAGGTATCCGGCTGGCCCAATTCGAACCAGAGTCTCGGACTCCCTGTCCAGTGCTCTGTCCCCACTTTGCTGCTCCTTGGAACTTACTCGGTCAAACATCCGGTTCAGCAGTCTGGGGACCACAGGAAAGATTGTGGGTTGAAGTGCCTTGAGGTCATCCATAAGCAGCCTGATATCTCCTTGGAAAAATCCTATTTTAGCTCCATGACACAGCATTACACACTAGAGCAGGAAACAAAAATAACGCCCATGTCTTCATCAAAGCAGGGACCACACAACATACACACAGACACACAAGGCTTCTGTTTTAGCATTTCGGACCAGTGTCCAGAAACCACGAAGTTCCTACATGTTGGTCACTTTTCAAAAAACATTCTTGACTTCCCTGGTCATTACACAACATCAAAGTGTGGTCTTTCTCTTGATCACCCTGAAGATAAAGGAGCTGGTAAGAGAACAGACTACATTGTTTTTAGGATGATCATGGAGTTTCTGCTATTTCAGCTCTAGGATAAATAGCTGGTGAGTGAATGACAGGGTGTTAAGTAATCCCAGTATTTCACTTGCCTAGAAAATTTAGGCCTAATTTGTTCTCCAAACAACAGAGCAACTTGCAAACTTGGCTACTTGCCAAGCGTATTAAAGTCTCATTTTTAAAAATCTGAATCTCACAAAAAAAGTCTGAAAAGCCACTGACTATGTTGCAGCTGAGACACTAGGGTGTCAAAGAGCAGAGTGGCTTAACGTTCAGCTATGATCTACTCCATGGGTATGTTCCCACCCGATGCAAACCGCACTGGCAAGCCGTATGCACTTGACCCACAGTTTGGCTGTTTTAAATTTTAAAGAGAGAGAGAGATTCAAAAGATGACACCATGGAAGTACAAATGGTCTCAGGCTTGAAAGCAGAAACCACTAGAAAGGTACGCCCAGCCTGGTTCAGGTTTAAAAATTCAAGCTGGGCGAGGAAGGCTTTTGTCCTCGATGGCCTGCCTCCCAGGCACACATCCCAAACTGCAATTAGGTATATATGGGCCATTATCAAACCGTCTGAGATAGCTTTGGAAACTCACAAGATCTCCTGAGGTGTGCAGGAGGAGAGGTAACAGACCCAAGATGGGATCTCATGACCCTTAGTCCTTTAGGGTTAGTGCACCCTAAGGGCCAGCAGCCGATCAAAGGGCCACTCGCTCTTAGTCACCTCTCGGTTAGTCTCAGTCACTGACACTCAGCACAGTGCCTGGCATACAGCCAGAGCTCAATAAATATTTGTTAAATGAATGGATGGTGCCCACTGCTTTTTCCTAAAGTACAGGATCCAAAATTGTTGGAGAAGTTAAAGAGATGGTTGTCATCACACAGTCATACAAAGGGAGGCGAGGCTAAGGTCAGCTAAAGATCATCCTACTTTTCCAAGGGCACTTGGAATATTGGTGAAAAAAATGAATCTTAAGCTGACTTGCACATTATGAACAACCCCAAGGAAAACCAGCAGCTTTTTACAGAGGCAGAGGCTTCATGAAGCTTTGCAGGATGGCATTCATAAAAATTCTACTTTGACAGTTAATCTTTCTGGAATCATGCCTAGGTGCATCTCCTGCAGAAGCCTGAGCTTCGAATTTTAAAATGAATGATTAAAGTTCACGTACTCAGACCGCTCCCCCTCTCCCCAACATTTATACTCTTTTAAGTAATTAGCACCATTTCTAAAAGGGGGCCTTGCAAACAATTCTCTCTGGGAATGACACTCTGCCCTGAAAACTTACCTGCATCAGTTGCTCATACATGTGTGCAAGTGGTAAAAACGAAATGTGTATGTCACTGGCATTCAAGGCAAGTACTTTCTGGAAAACACAACAACTTAGCAGAACACAAACAAGCAAGCGCGTGCAGAAGAACAAAACAAGGCCTACCTCTACAACTCTTTCAAACATATGGGCGAGAGGCAAGAAAGATATCAAAGTATCATCTGGGGAAGGATTGACTGTATTCTGTAAGAAAGACACCGGCAAGCAGAGAAGCGTCAAGATTCCCAGTAATTTCCCATTTTTATTTCAAAACACATGATACCTTAACGCTAAGGAGAAAGCAGCTTTCACTTACAACCTGCCATTAATTCTCACAGAAGGATGAAAATGAAAAGGCAATGCTTTAATAACTTCATATTCAATATGAGTGGAGGTCATTCCTCATGATAAAGGAAACCCACTCAGGATTTTAGCCCAAACCGGGAAAATTTTGCCCAAATTGGGATATTAAGGGATCACGTGCTTTAATCATTTAGTATTCCAAAGTTACTGTACCCCACTGCCCAGCAAACTCAATTCCACCATAAGTAAGAAATAAAAGGTCCATTCCAACATAACATAGCATATTATGTTGTGGGAATAGATGATCTATTCCAACATAAAATAGCATTTTATGTTATAAAGGGATAGGAGGAGGGATGATAAGAGAAACTGATTTCCAAGCTCTTTTAATTTATAGTATAAATGCATTTTGAGTATTTTAGTTTGATCAAGATCTTTACCTGAGTGGCCTGCTTTACACCCCATGAACACTATATCGATTTGTTTAGTGCAAGAGCTCTCCTCTGGCCCGGTCTCCTATAAAATGCTGATTTGTGATAGAGGTCTGCATCGAGGCTAAGCTGGACATCTGGTTTCCATCGCAGGGCTAAGAATGGTCTTTACTTAGAACCAGGCATAATGAGGGTTTTACGGGGAATATTCATGTTATTCATGTGTCAGGAATTCTGGCCAAAGTAAGAAAGGACCTCCAGCACCTGCCACCATGCCAGTCAGGTGCCTATGCAACCGCTTCCAGGCCGTGCCCAACCCCCACCAGTGTGGAGCAAACTCAGTAGCCTGATCCTGCCACAAACTTAGATTAATTTTATTCCAGTGTGGTCTGCATCCCAACTAGTTCATCTCAGGAGGTAAGTGCTTATATAATGAGAAGTCAGATTCTATAATTTTTATACTTTTCAATTTTTGATTTGGTACTCAAAAGAAAATGTGCATTAGCAAGGTTAGAAGTTTTACAAAGTTGAGAATGCCCTTGATCGTATCATTAATTTTAAACCAAGTTTGTAATCATTTGCCTCAGTGAGCCAGGAGTGTATCTTAAATTTTCTTCGAAGGCTAGTTGGGAAATTAAAATTCTACTTAGGTGAGGTGCTAAATGTTGAATTCTGTTTATGAAATATATGCCCCCAAAATAGGTATTTGGGACTAAGAAAGTGTGGGTGTAAGCAGGAGGGAGCTAGGCCTTCCGTAGCCACCAAAGACATGTATTCCCCAAAACCATTAAGCATGGGGGCTCCGGTCATAAAAATTAGGGCTCACAGAAGAACCCTCCCAGACACTGTTATGAGGGAAAGGCATTATACTGTTTGACAAGGACTTTTAAAACTCAAGTTTGAAATATATCCTTGGTGCTTGGACCGAATTGTATCATCCCCTCTGCCCAAATTCATGTTAAAGTCCTAATCCCCCATGTGACTGGATTTGGGGATGGAGCCCTTGGGGAGGTAATTCAGGTGAAATGAGGTCATGGGGTGGGGGACCTGATCCAACAGGGCGGGTGTCCTTGCAAGCAGAGGAAGAAACAGCAGAAACCTCTCCCTCATTCTCCATGTGCACACAGAGGAAAGGGCAGGTGAAGACACAATTCTGGAGGTGGCTACCTACAGGCCAGGAAGAGAGCCCTCACCAGCAACCGAATTTGCTGATACTTTGATCATGGACTTCCAGCCTCCTGCACTTTGAGAAAATAAATATCTGTCGTTTAAGGCCCTCAGCCTGTGGGATTTTGTTATGGCCACCCAGAGGACTAGGACACACCGGGGCTGGGGTGGGGGGGTGCAGGCAAACTTTAAGATGACAGGAAACCAACTAAAGGTCAAGGCTTTAATCTTTCTCATAAAATGGAAGTGAAGTCAATTGCAATAAGGAACAATAATTAAAAAACCTTCTGCATCCCATTAAGATTTCATTTGTCCACTTAAATTATTTTCCCCGCACTGGAATAGTAGGTGGACAAGGGCACAAGAGAGTCATTTCTTCTTGGTTCTGTCCCAGAAACAGTTATAGGGCAGTATCCAAATAAAGTTGTACCCTATAAAAGTTGTAATAACTTCTGTCTGTCAACTTAGCTTTACGGTCACACACAGGACTTGGGGGATGAGGTCCACAATGAAAATGATTTGAGGGCGGGTGACCTTAGACTATAATAATGCTCAGCTCTTAACTATGCCTCCAGCACAGCAGGGGCCTAACACAGTGGGGCTGGCCTTTCCCGCTCTCATTCTTGAGGCCTCATGCCAACCAAGGAACATGAAGGAAGATGATGATACCCCCAAAGTTTACCTCGGTGACTTTCACAAAAGCTGAACAATCGCTCACTATATTTCCATGAGTGATCAGTGCTCCTTTGGGGTTGCCTGAGGAACACACAGGAGCAAAACAAAGTTAAAGAAAGTCCATCCAAAAGTGAACGAAATTAAGGAAGCCCAGAACCCTATGTAATTGGGTTATGCCTCTAGCATTAGGTGCACCCAGGAGAGCCAAATGCAAAATGACCTTACATTCTGGAAAAATCTGCCATCCTTTATGTGAAACTTCTTATCATGAACAACCTTTACTAACACGGGTGACTTTTAGAAGGCATGTAAGAAAATGCAGGAATTTTATTTCTGGAAATCAAATGTTGGTTTGTCCCAGGAAATAGGGGAATCTACCGTCCGCTCCCATAAACATCTGAGGAAGTGCACAGCACACTCAGATTCCAAGGTCAGATACAGTGACGGGGAAGAATGCTCGAACCCCTATGTCCCCTATGTGCTTTCGGACCATCTGTACCTCAACTAAGTCCCACGTCACCCGCCATCCAAGTAAGGGGGAGGGTATGGGGGACACACCTCCAGACACCACTCAGAAGCGACTGCATTTCAAAACTTACCTGTAGTTCCACTGGTGAAACAAATGACTGCAAGATCTTCAGGTGCTGGAGGCTACAGGACATTTAAAAACAAAAACAAAAAACAAAAAGAAACCACACACAACCAAGGTGGTGTAAGTCAGAACCGAAAAGAAAACTATAAGCCATAAGCTAACCCCCAAGATCTGTACTAGTCTCAGAGACAACTAGATATTGGAAGAGCTGAAGCAGAGGGCTGACAGGATGAACTTACCTTGGGCCTCTGTCTGTTGGCTCTTCCCAGGTCCTAAATGAGAAGAGAAAAAAAAAAAAATCCTAAATGGGAACATTTTCTAAAAGTAAAGAAGAAGGTGACATCCAATCACTTCAAGCCAACCTCACTGTGGGATTCACTTATCACTGGCCCAAAGACAGTACACATTTCAAATGAAAGAAATGGGCAGTTTTAACCAACCTAAAGCGATATATTTAGGCATTGTCTTCAGACGCCATTTTCCAGTTGTCTTCGCTCATATATAAAACCGTATAAATGGTATGAGGACTAATCTCTGAAACAGGATTTACTCAAAAGACAGGAATCAGAGTCTTTGACTATGGATTTCTTGCCCCCACTCCCACTCCCCTTATGGTCTTTAGCAAAGCCTGGCTCTTAACCAACGTCAAACCATAATCTTAACCCAAGAACTGAAGATGTTCTGTACCCTCCCGCAGTCACCCAATTCTGGGTAACTGGCATCTTCTTCAGTCTAGAGAGAATAATCCATCTCTCGTAGAAGAAATGCTAGAGGCTCAAATAGCTGTACTCCCCACATGGAGTGGATTAAAAAAAAAAAAGATTTTGGAACCTCCAATTACAAACCAGTCCTCTTGAATGGTCATAAAGAGTGGCAGGTTCATTTCCAAGGGGCACATTGCCCAGCGGCTAGCTCCCGTCACTACCAGGGGTCATTTGGACGTTGTTCAGTTCACTGCAACACAGGCATCTCGGTGGCCACTTTAATTAGTTATTAATTTCTCTAATGAACCATTTATATTCTTTTCCTATTAAAACTGAATGGTCTGAATGAGCACATGGAGTGAGCATGCCTAGAATTAAGTGGAAATCTGATGAGTGCACTCAGGATTCAGGGAGTTTCTGCCCAGCGTATGGCTTTAAACTGTTTTTAATCTTAATTACGTTTTAAATTATATCAGAGACAGACCACTGATTCAAAACAGGAACAGTAAAGTCAAACCAAGAGCTGAAGCAATGGTAATTTCATTTTTTTCCCCAAAGGAATCTTCATCAGACACAAATCTCCATTCATCTGTTCAAAATTCTTACATAACTTCAACAGTTACATGCGATTTGGCTTTTAATTTATCAGGAATAAACGTTATCCAAATGACTGCCCTATGGGACAAGAAAGCCCAGAGCCTCAAACCTGTCTAAGGACATTATGTAGAAGAGAGTACGGCAACCATAAAAATGAAAGAGTTGTTGCCATCTTTAAGCTCCAAATGCCAAAAACAAAAAACAAAAAAACTTAAATCAGAAGAAAATCCAAATTCCAGTTAATGATTAGCATGTGGAAGTATTTAGGGGTGATAAAAACTGCAACTTAAAGAAAATGCATTAAAAAAATAGATTCAGGAATGAATGGAGGGACGGAGTGATGGATATGTAGGGGATGAAGCAAATATATTAAAACACTCGCTGTGGGATGCTTGGGGGCTGTGCAGTAGTCTACTGACCAATTCTTCCAACTTGTTTGCATGTTTGAAAATTTTCATAATGAAGTATCAAAAAAAGCAAAAATTCCAATATTTCTCTTTTTGATCCTATAAAACTGTTAATATAAACTTGATCACAGGACCAGCCATAAAGCCAGTTTTACATCCACTTCTTGGAAATTAACCTTTGGCTTACCAAATTTTTAAAGACCGAGTATGAATTACATTACACAGGGAAGTATAGAACGCCTTTTATAAAATGAAGCCTTTAATATAAATTTTATATTACAATCTTCATTTACCTAAATTTTTTCATCATAAAATTACTACATCGTAGAGGCATCGAAAAACACCCCAAATTCCTGTGTGTACGTGTGTGTGTGTGTGCATGTTTGTGTGGTGGGGTCACGGAGAAAGAGGAAAGATGGGGGAAATTATGGCATTATCGTGAACGGCAATCACAAGTGCAGAAGCAAACGTGCGAGAACGCTCGGTAAAAAGCCAGCTTGCCCCATTGAACAGTATGGCATATGCGTTCTTACAGACTCAGCTTCTCTGCTACTGTGTGTGTGTACACATGTGTGTAAGTATGTACACGTATAAGGACTCTGTTAGAACAAATTACAGTTTCCCTATGAAGGCTAAGTTCCTCCAGAAAGTGATGACACAGATCCTTGTTTGTAGCCTCCAAGGAGAACCATAAGTAAAATAAAACCCTATTTATAACAGTTCCAGGGAAATATTTATAACATTTTCGGAAGGAGAACAACTTACTACTGCATGTAGCCTGGGATATGTCCCTGACAAGATCCTCCTCTTACCAGCTCCTTGGGATTAAACTCTAATCCAAATCCTACTGGAGAATCAGCTTTTTACACGATGCGATGTCAAACAACTGATTTAAATATGGGCCCTGCTCATTTTCCTAGCACGGTTACCTTGAAAGTTTTGATTAACGTGAATCTTAAGAAATTCAATATAAAAATAAACCAAATCCGACATCTATGCTGGGAATTCACCAGGATGCTACAAAAGGAACTTGGGAAACAAAATAACGAGGCGGATTGCTGTGGCTGGCTCTGTTTTAGAAACAAAGCAGTGAGTAAATGGCATGGAAGCCTTAAAAGGACATCCAACCACTTAAATCTCTGCCTGAACTGAAAATCCGCCTTTCTCCCAAATACCGTGTGGCCTGTCAGTAGTCTAGAATAAATGTGTGGGCACTGCAACTTGTTTTACAAGAGCACTTTCTGTGTGATGGATTCACAGTGGGACACGCACGTAGAATTCTTTCCAGTTAAGGAGACAGGAATTTCCACTCTGGGTCTTTTATGGTTGTTGAGATGACCAAGCAGAGTTAGGATTTCCACATTTGAACCAAAATGGCCCCAGGGACACCTGTCAGAGGAATGGGCAGGATGACTCACCTCCAACGCCTTCATACTGATGATTTCCACGCCACATCTTTTGCCTCGTTCCAACAGATCGATGCCATAGGAGTCCATGAGGACGATGGTTTTAATGCATGGTGTTAACTTGTTTTCTACACTGTCTAATAAGAGGTTGGCCTTCTCTGGCTTGTCAACAAAAACCAGAGAGAGTTCAGCTGGGAAGGAAGAGATACAATGAAGAATGAGCTCTGAGATATTAAAAACCTAACCGTGTCATATCTGACACCAGGTTATTTTAAGGACTACAGTCTTTGAATAGAAAGAATTGTGTGCATTTAAACAAAATCCTGGGGATGCCTGGGTGGCTCAGTCGGTGAAGTGTCTACCTTCGGCTCAGGTCACGATCCAGGGGTCCTGGGATCGAGCCCGATGATGGCTCCTGCTCAGAGAGGAGTCGGCTTCTCCCTCTCCCTCTGCCCCTCCCCCCATTCTTATGTTCTCTCTCTCTCTCTCTTCCCCTCTTTCTCTCAAATGAATAAGCAAATTCTTAAAAAAACAAACAAACATAAAATCCCTATCAAATCAAATATAACCCAACATAAAGCCACCAAAGTGAGCTGATAACCAGGCCAACGTCCACCCAAAGACCACAGACCTACCTTTGTTGACTATGTAGGTGATTGCTTCTGTTCCAAGGGTATCATAGAGGGGAACAACCACCATAGAGTAAGCAAAACATCCTTGTTCAATGATCACCCACTAGATGACCAGTAAAGGTTGGGGAGAGAAAAACGAGATGTCATCATGGAACTAATTCAAGGAGAACAACACTCTAGAGAGATTCAAAGTGGAAACACTAGACGTGGCAAAATTCACATTTGTGTGTCTGCTACTATGTGCCAGGCACCCTGAGGGACTCATCGTGCGAACAAAACACCTGCTCCCTTCTAAGAAGGAAAGAGCAATTTGCTGGGAGAACTGATGCAAATATACGAAAAGATAATTAACAATACAAGAGAGTGACCGACTCGGACACGAGGGAGCCCATGGTAGGCCACCTTCGTGGGGGTGGTAACTGAGCTCAACCCTTTACCGGGGCAGCACAGTTTGGATGGAGAGAAAAGCAAGGAGACTCCACTAGTGGGGACCGCATGATCGAGAGCAGGGAAGAGGTGGGAAGGACCCTGGCCGGCGTGGGTGGCCCAGCAGGCAAGGCTGCGGTGCGACTTGGGAGGGGCCTGGTTCCATTCCCCAGGGAACGCACAGCCACGGAGGGCTCCTCAGCACAGCAGAGGCCCTGGGGTCTGCGGATCAGCCAGGCGGCTGTGTGCAGTAGGATCTGGAAACTGAGGAAGGAGGGACACACGCTTGTGTAACAGGAAAAATATTCTGGCGACATCTCCCCGGAGAAGTGATACAGGAAAGACATGATAAGGTAACTGGTCACCTTGCCTCTAATCTCATCGGCCATGTGGCAACTACTCTGCCTTCCGGGCTGACACAGTGAGGTCAGCCTTTCACTTAAAATCCCTGGCCGCCCCATCACCTCCAGCTGGAATCCTCGAATCCCTTGCGGCCCGCCAACACACGGCACAGATACAGACAGAGCTGCTGTGGGAAAGGAGCATGGCGCTTAAGTTTGCTTGGCCCCGAACTACTTTTCCCCCTTTTCTTTCCCAGCACCAGTTCCAAGCTACAGATGTGGAGGTCAGGTCCGAGCTTCTCAGCAGGGTTGTATGGTACATGTGCTCCTGTCTTTCCTGCCCCTCCAAGCTCTACCATAAGAAAATGCCTCTTTCCCCAACACAGACATGCTGCTTGATACAAACATGTGGTTGTTCCTGACATTCCCTTGGCTCCCCCACCCTCAGATACTTCAACACTCCACTGGGAGGCCACCTCTAGGAAGTCCTCCTTGACTGAGCTCCCATAATCCTTTTTCCCTGTGTCCACCCTTACCATGCTACAGAGAAAGCAGGAGCTTATGGGCCGGTCTTCCAAGTCACCGTTGTACTTTGGTACCTCGCAGTGCCTGGCATATAGTAGGTGCTCAGTAAACATTTATTAAACTAGCTGATACATACAGGAAGGGGCTTACTCTGTGAAGTAAGGAATACCTGTCCTCGTGATCGACTCATTATAAAATTCCACTCACGCAAAAATCTGGGCTGTGTTCCCTTGCATGAGTTTTACTTGAAATGAAAGAAACTAAATTTCACGAGCCTGGTCACCATCCAGCTGTGGAAAATGCTGTTTTTCTCTTACCAATACATAAAACTGTAGGAAACCATCCTCATTTATACAACGGTCGGTAGCACAGGGATGGAGCCCACATGTCTTTTGGACACAGGAACCAATCCAACTTCTTCAAGCTCAGTGCCTGAATTTTTCCCAGCCAAGTTATGCCATTAATCTGTTCACAAATGCCATAAGCAACAGCTCCAAAAGGGCTTCTCATTTAATGCAAGGGTCTGCAGAAGCACCAGACAGTGCACTTGACAGCCAGCCAGACAGACAGACCACACACCCACACTAAGGCTGACTCATGGTCAAGGCATACCCATGGTATTTTTCCCCGCTGCCCATGGTAGTTTCAACTTTGTAATCTGATCAGAGGGCAAGCTCCTACCTTTCAGAGAGCAAAGAGGAGAGTCTGCAACTGACAAAGATGTGTCATGCTATTCTTCTAATCACAGACATAAGCCTTAAGGTAAGACGATTCTTTGTGAGCTACTTGTTCTAGCAACTTCTCTGTTAAGTTTTTGTTTGGAAACTGGTTTTAAAAAAACAAAAACCAATAATTCAAAAAGTGATTTTCTTTTCCCCTGCACTTAAGGTCAAGGACGCCCTGGCTCGGGTTTTTGTATGCGGCACTTTTCAAAAAAAATTTTATATATTTTTATTTAAATTCAATTAAAACATAGTGTTTGTTAATATAACATATAATAATTGCTAATAACGTTAATGTTTCAGAGGTAGAGGTCAGTGATGCATCAGTCTTATACAACATCCACTGCTCATTACGTCCCATGCCCTCCTTAATGTCCATCAGCCAGTTACTTCTTCCCCTCACTATTCTCCCCTCCAGCAACCCTCAGTGTGTTTCCTATGCTTCAGAGTCTCCTGTGGTTTGTCTCCCTCTCTGATTTCATCCCCTATGATCCTGTCTTGTTTCTTGAATTCCACATATGAGTGAGATCATAAGATAACTGCGTCACTTTCTAAGGAATAACACAGAGACATATTCTCAGTAGAGATCAGAGCACAAAATCAGGTCCTGAGCAAAAGCAGGTATGAATTCCCAACGGCTCTTCCATCCAAAACTCTCAACACCACTCAGAATTGTCTCATGGTCAATACCTCAGGTCTGTTCTGAGCGAAGATGCCAATGAACTGATCCGGGGAAGGCTTGAAGCCCTTCTGGAGGAGCGCTGAGCCCACACACTCGGCTATCTCGGCAACCTAGAATGGGGAGGACAGACATCAGGAGCCGGGTGAGGCCCAGCGCAAGGAACAGAGCTCACCAGGTGATGGCCGAGCCTGACACCTTGGCCAGCGAGCAGGAGCACATGATGAGGAGAGCCGGAGCAAACAGGCATTCCCTTAGCTCTACATGTTTGTAAAACCAAGGCATGATTCGCCGGATCTCACTCTTAAGGGAATTGATCAGAGGGCCTCCTCCTAGAAAGCAGACAAATCGGATCCCGACAGCTGTGGGCCACAGATCGCTGGATGTTAGGCCTTCTGAGACATTTCAATTTCACACTTTACTTTCATAAAATTATAAAACTATAATTTCATAAAATTATAAATAATACAAGGACACAGAATTATTATTATTATTATTATTGTGACCATCTGGAGTTATAAAGAGCAGCAAAGCAGCCCAAACTTGTCACTCTCTATAAAAGCAGAAATAACAAGGTTGGGGGACACCCTCCTTCAAAAAACTTATAAAAATTTTATATAAAATAAATAGATAAGAAAATAAATACTCTTATTGCAAGTAAAACTAGGAAGATTCATAAAAATTAGGTAGGACTCTAAACCTGCCCCCATCCTCTCCCTATTTCTATCCCAAAGTAACTAAAAAAAATTGGTTTTAATCTTCAAATTTGGATTATTTTCCTGATTCTCAGTTGGTGGCTTCTCAAGAGCACTTGGAAATCACACCCACGCCCGTGGGATAAAGCCACACCTATTCTGGCCCAGAACTCTGTTTGTCCTGGCACATGGCGCCACCGTGCTCTGCCTATGGGGACGAAAGCTGACACAGGTGAGGTGACAGCAAGAATGATATGAATATGCTTATTGTTTTTGTACCCACAGCCTGTTTCACAACCTCTGCTCGCATGTCAGGGATGGGAGCCCATGAAACGCCACCGTGGTTGGCAGAGAGTATCAGGATAAACCGCAGGCATTTCTAGCTCTAGACAGAGGCTCCGTACGTTTGTTTGGGAAACCTCAAAGGGACTCCTAGCCCCACAAAAGTCAGAGTCACTAAGCTAATGAAAAGGCTTGAAGGTAAAAATCCAGAGTTGGCTTCTCTGGGTCTAGTTTTAGGTCTTCACCAGCCTCGGGCTGAAATGTACCAAACACAGATGAATGTCTTCAGAAACCGCAGCGATTTTTCAATCTGCCTCGAAAAAATCCAATCGGCCGAGGACTTGCCTTCTCTGCCTTCCGGCTGGCATACAACAAAAGGGATCAGACAGCACTGGGGGGATCTGTGAGGCCTGAGGCCCACCATGCAACACTGTGTGTCCAACGCAATCAACTGTTTACATACCACGTGGGAAAATGAGGAAGCTCAGCAACTGCTTTTATCTGGGCTCTGGTAAAGCAAAAGGAAAGCGGCGAATTCCCTCTGGCCCCCAGGGCTACACAGCGCATCACTCCTTCCACAAGGAAGGTACGCGGAGCTATTCTGCCGCTCTGCTCTCCGTCAAGAGCTACACAAGCAAAGCCTTTTGCATTTCATTCATCCTCAGGAGAGGGAAGGGGAAGAAAACACAGTGTGTGTCTCCGTGTGGGCAGGGCTGGTGAGCACGAGACCCAGGCCGGCTTCGGGGCACCTCGTGACCATCCCCGGTCACATACACTCCAGCGTGTGCCAGCTGTCAGGGCGCCCTTCCCACGGAACGTGGAAGGAGGAAGCTCATTTGTAGTCATGAATGCCACAGGATGACCTGTTCCTACAGCAGGGAGCCATTTCCTGGACAGCCGTGCTGGAAACACAAGGCAGCAGACTGGACACTTCCCAGGGGCTCCTGTATACTCTTGGGGTCCTACTGCCACAGGGGAGAGAAGCAGGGGCTTCGAGATATCCTGTTATCATGATACAAATAAAAAGCAAAATCTTCCTGCTCTGCTTTCTGCCATCAGCAACTATTTAAACAGCAGCAGCTGTGAATCAACGGGGCCTACAGAGGGACAAGAATAAATCCACCGCGATCCCAGCTTCCTTTGTGCTGATACAGTAATGCAGGTGTCACCTCTAAACATCTTTACCACTCACTACGGCTGCCCTGGGGTTCCATGTCACACCAGTCCCCAGTGGGTCAGGTTACCTAGACCAGAAGACGTGGATCTCACTTCCAGTCCCATTTTTGCCACTGACCAACTGTGACCTTGGGCGAGTCCCATCCTTTCCTAGGAGGGGCTGTTTTGTCATCTTTAAAATGAGAGAGTTGCTCTATATTGGGGCTTCTAAACGTCTCTAGCACCCCATAAGGCAGAAGAGAGCTTCTATCCCCTCACGGGCTTTGGGAGAGAGTCACCTGCTTCGAGCACATTTCTAGAATATTATCTTGGAATTATATTCTGCTCTACGGTGCGCCCACTTAAGTTCTACAAGAAAGTGCTTTTGAACCACCAATGAAGTGACTTAACCATTTTTTCCCAAATCTTTGTGTAAAACTTCTCCCTTCGGAGGCTGCACATAAACCCCAGAGCTCTGGGCTAGCCCAGCGCACAGATCCTGGAGTAAGCTTTCAGTCCTCACAGTCAGTAGCTCCAAGAACAGACAGATTTCAGCTCAGTGTACGTGAGGACCCAAAGAGCCAGAAAACTCACCTGTTTGTATGAAAGCCATTCGTAGGGCTGGTCTGGCTTCCGAGAGCCTAAACAAGGGCCGTTATCTAAAAAAAGGAAAAAAGAATGAAAAAACAAAAAATGGGTTTAACGTGCATAAATATTCTAACTGGTACCCGACTTTATTCTATAAAGTATCCGCAGACTTTGGTCCCCAGATTGGAAATAAGAAGGAGTTCAGATTAGAAATGTGTTCTCCCAGGGTTCTGGTGTGATTTTTTGTTTGTTTGTTTCTATTTTGTTCCTTAAATGGGGCAGGAGAAGAGAAAAAGTAAGAGGATATGAGGCAGGGGTGCCAGGTGGCTCAGTCAGTTAAGCGTCTGCCTTTGGCTCAGGGGTCCTGGAATCCAGCCCTGCTTACCAGCGAGCCTGCTTCTCCCTCTGCCCCTGCCACTCCCCCTGCCTGTGTTTTGTCTCTCGCTCACTCTCTCTCAAATAACTAAATAAAATATATATATTTTTAAAAAGATATGAGGCAAATACAATTTTTAAGGATACTCAATTTGTGAATTCTTCATATCCTATTGGTTTAGAAAGGAGTCAACAGCTGCTTGGTTAAAAAAAAAAAAATCCTAGTGTAGGTTTCAGAAGAATCCCTCAAAATTTCAGAAGTGTAAAGCATTCTAACTCAGAATGTAAAAAAGAAAATGTGACTCTTAAATGCCCAAATTCTGATGACCTGGAATGTACTTACATGGGTGAAGCCTTACTGGCAGAGAAACAAAATGAGGAAAAGATACAAAATAAAGAGAAAATAAGGTGGGGTATTTGCGAAAGCAAAAAATTAAGAACTATCAGGATGTGTCCTGATTCTAACTTGGGTACTGAATAGGCAGAGAGCAAGAAAACTCATATTACGTATTCCTGCTAAGGGCTAGTACAGTAAAAAGTACCACTGAGATCATTTATATTTGGAATCATGGGAGTTTCCTTCTACAGATCGACCCCAAGCTCACTTTACGCTCAGTTTGTAACTGTTGAAGACAAAGCAATGTCCAGCTAAAGGGAAAAAAAAAAAAGAAAGAAAACGAAGAGAAAAAGCTGCCATGTTCAGATGATGAGAGCTGACCACAGAACTAACTAGAAACACAGACTCTGTGTTAAGCCGGGCCTCATAGCTCCTTCTACAGGGCTTTTTTTTTTTTTTTTTGGTCATCTCCCCTCTGGAACAGGGGACCTGCATTTCTGTTTTGAGACTACAACGTATACGGCTGCCCCATTCTGGGTTTGAGTGTCAGCTGAGGTGTCCCGATTTGGTTTGGGGGCCTGGAGGATGGCAGAAAGGCTGAGCCTAGCCCCATCTGCAGCCCTGACGAGGCCGGGCCCACGAGGCAGAGTCACGCCCTGGAGAGGGGGAGTGGGATGCGTGACAGGTCAATCCTGAGGACAGGGAGGACCCGGGCTGACCAAGTCACTGCTTCACATTGATTTCTGCTGTCTCTACTGCAGCCTTAAGGAACACAGAAAAGAGCACTAGGGTCCTCCTTCTCAGACCCTCTGCCATTCACAGGGGCTGTGATAAAGGCCAAGCCGGACATCACAAGTTCCACCAGAAGTTGTTTTCAGACACACGCCATATGAAATAATGTTATGTTATTCTCCCAGAACAGGGATTGGCAGTGTATGTAAGCAGTGGCCAAATCAAGCCTGCCACCTGTTTTTGTGAAGACAGTCTTACTGGAGCACAGCCTCACTGGCTCATTTACATATTATCTAAGACCTTCAGCAGAGCAGGCTTGACAGAGACCACGTGATCCCAAGAGCCTACATATTCACTATCTGGCCCTTTCCAGAAAAGGTTTATAGACCCCAGCTCCAGGACAGTGGGAACTTAAAAAAATACCATACCCGGGCCCTACTAACAACAAAAAATTTTAATTCTTTTTTAAAAAAATTTTAAACTCAGTTAATTAACATGTAATGTATGATTTGTTTCAGGGGTAGAGGTCTGTGATTTACCAGTCTTTTTCTTTTTTTTTTTTTTTAAGATTTTATTTATTTATTTAATTTTTCTTTGTTTTAGATTTTCTTTATTTATTTGACAGACAGAGATCACAAGTAGGCAGAGAGGAAGGCAGAGAGAGAGGAAGAAGCAGGCTCCCTGCTGAGCAGAGTGCCCAATGTGGGGCTCGATCCCAGGACTCTGGGATCATGACCTGAGCCGAAGGCAGAGGCTTTAGCCCATTGAGCCACCCAGGCGCCCCTCATCGGTCTTATATAATGCCCAGTACTCATTATAACACATACCCTCCCCAATGTCCATCACCCAGCCCAATTTTTTATATAATTGGACGGGGATGGGGCCTGGGCAATACTGCTGTGCAGCCAGAGACGAGAATCCACAGGTTCGCAGACAGAGCCCTCCTCTTACAAGTGGCTCCCTGTGTACAGTCTGAAAAGACGAGCTTTTAAAAACTCCATGCCGGCTTCTCCTTTCATTCAATAAACTCCCAACTACCTTATCTAGATGCTGGTGTTTACTCTCCTATAAAGCCTTCGTCGTATGGTAGTCTAGGAAAATTAAAGCTTAGAATAAGGATGCCTGGGTGGCTCAGATGGTTAAGCGTCTGCCTTCGGCTCAGGCAGGGTCATGGGATCAAGCCCCATGTCAGGCTCTCTGCTTAGCAGGGAGTCTGCTTCTCCCTCTCCCTCTGCCTGCTGCTCCCCCTCCCTCAAATAAATAAATAAAATCTTTTTAAAAAAATACTTAAAAAAAAAAGGGCTTAGAATAAAAAAGCTTCCCTGGCGGGGCTTAGAAGGCAAAAGTGACCTGCAAAGCAGCTTCCTTCAATCAGTATAGATTAAGAAGAGTGAACTTTGTTTTCTTCAACTTCTCTGTAACAGTCACATAAGATTTTCATTTTCTAAGTAGAGAAAGTGACCAAAAAATTCTTGAAAAGTTACTGTCTTGAGGTCAGAGGAGAGTCAGAAGGATAATGTAAGTCACCGTACTACCAGGATGAATTCATTCTCTGCTCACACTGAGAAAAATGAAAGCATTTCTACACGTGACTTTGTGGTAGTGGTAAAGATTCTATATACATATGTACACATCTATAAATATACAAATATTTAATATACAAATATTTTGAAGTGGCTGTATGGAATGACCCACCCTGACCCTGACACTATATTTGAACAAGTTCAAAATATAGAAGTAAATTGGCTTTCCCTTTAGAGTGGGGCTTAATGAATCTTCTACAGGAATGCTGGGTCAAAAACGCATTAGAGCCATCCAGCGTTACCAGTAGCCAGTAAAAAACAGGGCACTTTTTTTTTTTTAAAGATTTTATTTATTTATTTGACAGATCACAAGTAGACAGAGAGGCAGGCAGAGAGAGAGAGAGAGGGAAGCAGACTCCCCGCTGAGCAGAGTCCGATGTGGGACTTGATCCCAGGACCCTGAGATCATGACCTGAGCCGAAGGCAGCGGCTTAACCCACTGAACCACCCAGGTGTCCCAAAAAAACAGGGCACTTCTGAGCACGTATTATCTGCAACACATTGTGGGGCCAGAGACGGCAATAGCACGCAGTCCCTCACTGTCAGCCGACTCCAGTCTAGCTAATTGTGGCAAAAATAAAAGCTAGCCATCAAAAGATTTAAACGACAAACCATGAATCCTGGAGACCATTTCTACAGAGTAACCTGGAACAAGCCAAAACGAAGAGGTGAAAACACAAAGAGGGATGCGGCCAGCTGGGGAAACATTAATGGAGCACCTACTGTTTGCCAGGCCGTGTGCCAGTGTCGAGAGAAGAGACAGCTGCCCTGCTCAAGGAGCCCTGGTGAGTGGGACAGAACAGCAGGCGAGTGCCTCGGCTCCCTGGAGGACGATTACAGAAATAGGTACAAGATGCTGGGGGGGAAACACCTCACCTAGAGGCAGGAGATGAAAAGGAAAGACTAGAGCAGTAGCACAGAAAAGGGAGAAATGGAACAGGCGCTGTAGAGGGCCAGTAAACAAGAGATAAGCCCACGAAGGCGTGGGGTTATGAGAAAGGGGAGAGGGGTGCTGGTTTTGCAAGAGGTTTGGTGTAAACTTGAGAAGACTCTATCTGGAGCCTTGCAGGGAGAGAGGCCAGAAAGGCAGGCAGGAGCCGTGGAGCGCGGGCTGGGTTTCTCCAGCCACCGTTAGTGTGGGAGCGTGTCCCGTGAGTCACACTTGCAAAGGCTCTCCTAGAACACTACTTCCTTGGGATGTCAGTGTTTATTTCTCAAAATATGGGTCTCGTGGTCAAGTAAGTTTGAAAATGTTGGATCGGGCCCCATTAAACCTTTTGACCTCAGGAAATGTCCGCGCCCAATAATGAGCTAATCTCTGTGAGACTCTGCATAAAATCCAGGACACGCCGAAAACCTATTTGAGCAGCCAGAGGGGCTCGTGTGCTTTGGGGTTCACTCTTGAGATGGTATGGGAGGAGGCAGGGGACTTGAACAGGTGGAAGGAGATAGAAGATGAGCGCAAATACGACTTCCTCAAGAGAGACCGCTTGTTCTCAGTGAAAATCACTGAACATTAGTCACACAAGTGCAGCAAATGCTTACTTGAAATCTGGATGCCTCTCTGGAAGCCTTCGTACAAAGTTCTGACATCTTCGTAGAAATACACCAAGGGCTCATCGCTATCCAGCAGCGGGGATCTCCGAGCGCCATCGCTACCCTGTGCAAAGAGACACAGACGCAGGAGCACGTTAGGGGAAAACATTAAAAATAAAAAGCCTAACATGAGTGCCCACTAGGCCCTCCAAGGGACCCCTGTGGGGTCGTTGCTCAGTATTTGTGGAACTAATGGAAGTGCAGGATTTGCTAAAAGAAGTCATTTGCCTGGGGTAAAGTGCAGCAGGCTTCAGAGAATCAAGGCTAAGACCAAACGGCCATCAGAGGTGCCCATCTCTGAGCAGGGGTCTGGCCAGATAAGGGGAAGAGAACAGAACTGGAAATGTGCCACCACCACCACACAAGCCTCTACTATCAACCTCACGGGGGACGGAGCTTGCATCAGCTCTCAAGGAAATGACAGGCCGTTTGCTTTTACTTCCATCCTGTGTATTCCTTTTGAGATGATTTCCACTGTTTGATCCCCGTGTCCACAGCAGTATAACCTGGGAGGAACTTCTGATTTTCCAGGGAAATCAGACGAAGACAAAGGAACTTCTGGTACTACAGGAAAGGACCATTCACAAGTGGGAGAGACTGTTTCTAGCGTGAGGTTTGAAGAAAGCAGAGAGGAAAGCCTTCACGAGAAAGGAGCAAAGGGCTGGGTCTCAGACAGCACAGTTGCTGATGGAGACACCAGAAGCATTCCAGGGGAAGAACCAACATGGAGAGCCTTCGTAGGTCATGACCTCCAGACAGACTTTGGTGGATCCTTTTTCTTCTTCTTCTTCTGTTTTTTTGTTTTTTTTTTTTAAGATTTTATTTATTCATTTAACAGAGAGAGCAAGCGAGCAAGAGAGGGAACACAAGCAGGGAGAAACAGGCTTCCCACCAAGCAGGAAGCCCCAGGTGGGGCTCGATCCCAGGACCCCGGGATCATGACCCGAGCTGAAGAACAGACTGAGCCATCCAGGTGCCCCTGTTTTTTGTTTGATTGTTTATTTGGGTTTTTTTTTTTTTTTTTTTAGGATTTCGGTAGGATTCTTCCTATCTCCTGTAAGCTCTCCCCCCAACCAGTTTATCATATATGTACTTCAAAAAAAAAAAAAAAAAAACAGTACAGAAGTATATTAAGAAAAAAAAATGACTAGCCCCTATTATCAGTTCGATGAGTTCTTTCCAGACTTTTTTCTTTGCTTTACATAAGTTTATATAAACTCTTTCATTATCTACTAGGTACTAAATATGTGTTTGACACTTGACCTAATGCAGCAAATCGTTTTGTGGGATAAATATCACCCGATGATATATTTGACTCATCAGCACAGTCTATCTTGGCAGACGCCTGCTAACACCTGTGGCCATGATTCCAAACGTGATTATTAATTACAACACACTACTTAATAAAGCAGAGAAGTTATTTTCTGTGTGTACTATGGTGGGAAAATCTCTGTTCCGTAGAATCATGCATCATGACGACCTAATCTCTGAGTCTGTTTGCTTGTCTGCAAAACGGGGATCCCATGTGTCCGTGTCCAGGGTTATCTTCAGCTAAACAAAATTGGTCCTATAAAAGAGGGGTGTGTAGAATATGACTCAGACACCCTATAACAAGCCTTAACTACGAATGCCAGTCCTGCTTAGCCTGTATCTTTTCTCCAACAAATACTCTGATTAAAATTCAGAAGTAATTTTGTGGCTTTACAGTATGCATTGGAAGCCTTTTCAACCCAGGAAGGCACCCACCAAAAAGAGCCAGGGTACCACGGCTATGGTAGGAGAAAAAGGAGCAAGGGATGGAGTGACAGAAAACGGGAAGAACAGAGGTGTGCCTGGTGGAGAGGAGCAAAGAGCCACATATAACCACCTCCTGGCCACTGGCCCGGCCTGGCCCACTGCGCCTATCAAGCATGGCCAGGAGGCACAGGCAGCTTGGTGGCCCAGGTCCTCATGACCTCAGCTTAGGACAGGGCCTCCTACGCCTCCCATCCTGCCATGAATTCATGCGTGGTATCACTCGGGGGTCTCTCTGCAAAAGCAATCCTGCCCTCCCCAGCATTCCACTGAGAACTCTCACAGCTGTCAGTGGGGCAGAGGGGCAGCAGGGGAATAAGACAAAGAGCTTTCTCCGAAGGACCCCCACGTCTTATCCTTACATCCCCAGAAGTGCTCCACGGAGCACTGGCTGGGCAAAGAGCGTGCAGGAGGTCAGGATGAATGGACAGGAGTAGCCTGGAATCTTCAGATTCCTCGAGCCAAGGTCCCCCAAAGACCCTTCTAAGGAAAGCAAATTAGCTCACCCTTCCCTAGATCTACTGAATCAGAAACTCTGATCCAGCAGAGTGTGATCCAGCAGCTGTAGCAAGCCCTCCGGGGGATTCTGGTGCATGCTGGTGAGAACCACTCACTGGTCGCATTAAGGTACGCAGGGGAGTAGTGAAAATCGGAGCAATGCTTCAGAAAGAAAGCTACAAGAAGTGAGGCAGCAGCACGAAGAATGGGACGGAGGGCAAGGGACCAGAGAAAAATGTACTCATGTGGGCCTGGGTGAGGGCAGTGGCAAGTGGAAACCGGGAGAAGGGTGACACCAGAAGTAGGAAGGGTTAATGAATGGGATCTGCCCAGTCCCTGGTTCTAAAGGAGGAGGTCTAAAAATAGCAGTTCCATTTAATCAAAAATAGAAGACTGGGCATGGGGGCCAGGTTTGAGAAGAGAGTCCGTTTAGCTTTGGATATAGGGAGACCATATCCCTTTCAAGATAGTAGGTCAACCTCCCAACTCCTATTTTGAGAATCACTGGTCTGGAGGATAATTTGATGACAAACGTTTGGTTAAATACTTCTTTGGTTAAGGTTAATTTTTTGGTGGTACATAATCCTCAAAACTTTGAGAAACATGGAAGTAACAGAGCCAAATCCAAGTTAAAGAAGTTAATTGAAGACAAGATATTTATTCTTCTTCTTCTAATTAGCCATCAGAATACTTAGCAAAGGTTTGAAGATGAAACAATAAATGAGCTCTAGACCCCAAAGGCACACCATTTAAGGCATAGGTGAAACTAGGTAAAAAGTCACACTGTCACTTACTCGTAATATACTCTGTAATTTCAAAATTTCTGAGTGAAAGGGGAGGGGGGCACTGAGCAAGATCTGTGCTTTGCAATGTGTTGCTCTATGAAATGATCACACGTTCCCCTGAGGAATCACCATTTGTGAACAAAAATGCTATTTGTAAACACTGGGTGTTGGCAACCTTAATTATACCTACAAAGGGGAAAGGACTGCACTCGGGGTGTTGGGAATCAGGGCTGAAACTGAGCTCCAATGTCTATATGTGCTACAAACTCAAGCCATTTCAAAAGGAGGGCATTCCATTACTGGGTCATGCAAGGACATGTCGCTATTTCTAGGAACATTTACTTAAATGAAAAAAAAAAAAAATTCTGGACTTCTGATATAACCTACAGATGGAGGGTAGAGGCCGGGGTTTCAATTATTTCCAAGAAACAGGGAGAGCAGGGGTTCCTAGGAGGCTCAGTTGGTTTGGCATATGCCTTGTGCTCAGTAGTGATCCCAGGGTCCTGGGACTGAGCCCTGTGTCGGGCTCCCTGCTCAATGGGGGCCTGCTTCTCCCTCTCCCTCTCTCCCCAGCTTGTGTTCTCTTTCTCTCTCGAATAAATAAATAATTAATAAATAAATGAAAGGAAGGAAGGAAGAAACAGGGAGAGATAAGCAGACAACCCCAACTAAACGTACAGGAAATCAGTCAGTAAGATTATCAAGGAGGATTATGCTATACACTTCTTTAATGTGGTTTTAGAGTCTTCTAATTTAAAAAAAAATAGAGAAGGTCATGAGTCAAATACACTATGGACACATCAGTGGTCCTGAGTCCATTTGGCAACATCTCTATAAGCTAAGGTTCCTCTTGAGGTCAGTCTCCCCATGTGGGCTGAATTAGGAAATGAAAGTTCAAGTTCCACTTGGGGCCAGTAAGGGCAGGAGCACAGTGGATGTCTGCATATCTGTGGTTCCCAAGACCAGAACCTTTGCTTATACGGGCCCTTGCTCCCACTTTCTGAAAGTTCACTTTATGAAACTTGACTTTTATGAAAGACCCACAAGAGTACTACCTGTTTTCACCACCTGGACAAAATCCGAAGAGGAGTTTCATGTTTATGCAAAAAGGAGTTCTGCGTTTACATAGATCTTTTTGTAAAAGGGAAGTGGCATAACTGGAACTTCTGGAAAGTGGGGGACACTCTTGCTTTAGTCCCTTTAGGCTTACAAACGCTTTCACAGGGGCGCTCTACTTTTGGATACCAGGGGAAACCTGTATTTGATGAAAAGGACTCAAGATGGTAAGAGTCATTTTGTGCACGCTCATATTTAAATGCAAAAATGGAATTACAGGGGCACCTGGGGGCTCAGTGGGTTAAAGCCTCTGCCTTTGGCTCAGGTCATGATCCCAGGGTTCTGGGATCAAGCCCCATATGGGGCTCTCTGCTCAGCAGGGAGCCTGCTTCCCTTCCTCTCTCTCTGCCTGCCCCTCTGCCTACTTGTGATCTCTATCTGTCAAATGAATAAATAAAATCTTTTTTAAAAAAATGGAATTACATTCTTGTGGATTTCTGGGGGATAGAAAGATCCAGGCTTTGTAAACTGGTCTCGTTCATCTCAGTCTAGAAAATGGGTATCTGCAGGCCATGACAGTCAAGTTCCCTCTGTGTTACTATTGTTTACTCCTGCTGGGGCAGGGGGGCGGGGCGGACAGAAAGAGGAAGGGAGACAAGGGAGGGAAGGAGAACTACGTAACTTGTAAGGAAACTGTGGAAGACGTGGCTGGATTTTAATGTTAAATCCATCTCCAGGGGGAAAAAACAGCAGAATCACAGCCCTAGGGGCACGGGGTTTTTATGGGTTGTTGTTGGATTTTTGTTTATTCATTTATTTATTATTTTCTATTGCCAATATCCTCCATGTGAAACTTTCTTCCCAGCACTTACATTTTTACATGCCTCTTACCCTGCCCAGAGCATCACTGTCTTGCTTCGCAGGCACAAAA